AGTGCCAATCATGGGATCTACTTCCGTTATTAGAGTTGTACCTTATTTAGGATTTCTCTATTATATAAAGAGGGATCCCATTCGCTTGTAAGAAAAAATAATGATTATTCACTGATAAGAATATACATATACGCTGCTTTCTTTATTTTATTTACTGTTCATCGATGTTTGTTCTATCCTCCACTGTTCTTATTAACTAACCTCGAGACTATCTCGAATCGAGGTCGAGGCATTGTTTGCAGACCGGCTTGATTTATTTTATTGTCCAATTTATCTATTTAATTTGTTGTTTATCAATTGTTACTGGTTTAAATAACATATCCTTAAAACCACAATATAAGTTTAATTGTTACTCAATTTTTAGGGTAAACAATACTACTTATTGTAATTTTAGTGATTTTTACATATAAATTTATGCTCCGCATCAAAAGTACTGGGTTCAGCTAAACCCGAAAACTATATGCTGCAGCTCCTGTGTAGAAGTCTTCTACTTGCAGCTAATATCACAATTTATAAAATATATATAAATGACATTTGCAATTATAATATTATTATTTAAAGACCAGTTGGCCAAACTTCTAAAATCTGCTTATTTTGAATGTTTTTTTGTTAAATTAGATTTTTAGAGAAGTAAGTTGGAAGTAGCAGCTTGCATTTCAACAATCCGTTTAAGACGCACTTTTCTCAGTATTACAAAAATAGCTTTTGTTTTGTTAATATTACTAAAAGGCGCTTTTGAGTGTCAAACTATGAAAAGGTCATATATTAATTCACTGTACAATTAGTATTATTTAAATAAGTCAATCATTTTAAATATTTATTATGATTATTTTAATAAATTTTTTATTTTATTTAATAAAAGGTGAAAAAAAATTAAGAATTTTAACAAATATAAATACAGTTGAATCAAAGTAATAATATTGAACATCTTACATAATTATTTGATTTTTATGTTGATTTAAACATAANATGATTATTTTAATAATTTTTCAATTTTATTTAATAAAAGGTGAAAAAAAATTAAGAATTTTAACAAATATAAATACATTTGAATCAAAGTAATAATATTGAACATCTTACATAATTGTTTGATTTTTATGTTGATTTAAACATATTGAAGTACATAATTAATTAATCATCAATTTATAGAGAGATAGTTTGGTAAAGATGTAACTCTTGCATAATTAATTGTGTCCCCTTTGTGTGATGACCCAAAGAGTCATCTTTAAATTTAATAATTATTTTTATTTTTTGAAACCTAAAATAGCACTATTCATCATTTCTCAACTTGCGTGCACAGTCCGTAAATTGTTTCGGAAAGTTTTTATGTGAAAAAATTGATTAAAATGTAAAATAGAGCTTTAAAACTCAAGTGGGTTGACTTTGGTCAACATTTTGAGCAAACGGGCCCGAATCAATATTTTGACAGTTCCAATAGGTCCGTATAGTGATTTGGGACTTGGGCGTATGCCCGAAATCGAATTCAGAGGTCCCTAGCTCGAGTTATCGCATGTTGTCAAAATTTTTAAGTTTAAAAGTTTAATGACTTAAGAGATTTGACTAATGTTTGACTTTGTTGATACCGGATCCGTATTTTGGTTCCGGGACCTGTTATAGCTCCATTACTATATTTATGACTTGTCTGCCAAAATTTGGTGAAAAATGAAGCTGATTTGACGTGATTTGGACGTCCGGTTGTTAAAATAGAAATTTTAAAGTTTTCTTAGAAATCTCACTTGATTTGGCGTCTGATTCGTAATTATAGGTGTTAAATTGATATTTTGATCACGCGAGCGAGTTTGTATGAGGTTTTAGGACTTGTGTGCATGTTTGGTTTGGAGCCGCGAGGGCTCGGGTGAGTTTCGGACGAGCCTCGGACCATTTTTGTTCAAGAACAGATGGCTGGAAATCTGGTATTTCCCAGTTCTAGTTTCCTTCTATGCGATCGTGTGACTTCATCCGCGATCGCAAAGGTTTATTGAGCACTGATGAAAATTTGTACTATGTGATCGTATAGTATTGTCCGCGATGGCACAGTTGAAGAAGCTAAGGCATCGCGAACGCGTGAACAAAGCCGCATTCGCGAAGAAGGAGTGAGGCAGAAGCTGTAGCACGCGATTTGTGCTATGCGATCGCATTCAGCCGTCTGCGATCGCGTAAGGCTGGAAAATGGTTCTTCGCATAAGCTCTTCCGCGTTCGCGAAGAGAAAAATTTGGCAGCTGTGCAATTGTGTTATGCGATCGTGAAGGAATTTCTGCGATCGCATAGGGTAAAAACCTAGGCAAACAGAACTTAAGTTCTGTAAATGGGATTTCACCCCATTTTCTACCATTTTTGATTTTGAGCTCGGGTAAGACGATTTTTGGGCAATTTTTACGAAAAAATATTGGGGTAAGTGTTCCTTATCCTATATTGATTATATTTCATGATTCCATACTCATTTCCATTATAAATCCGTGAATTTAGGGAGGAAAAATCAGATTTTATAAAATCTTTCAAAAATGTAAAATTAAGATTTGAAGGTCAATCCGATGTCGGAATTCGATAATTTTTGTATGGTTGAACTCGTATCGGAACGGGTGTTCGGATTTCGTAAGTTTTTCTGGGATTTGAGACGTGGGTCCCACTGTCGATTCTTTAGATGTATTTCGGATTTTAATTCAAAAAATTAGTAAATTCATATGGAATTAATTCCTACGATTTGTATTGAGTATATTGAATTATTTATGACTAGATTTGAGGACTTCGAACATGAATTCGCGAGACAAAGGTTTATTGGAATCTTGAGTTGGTTGCAAAGCGAGGTAAGTATCGTGGTTAACCTTGACTTGAGGGAGTATGACTTATTTGTCTATTTGCTACGTAATTTAATGTGCGGGTACAACGTATATGTAAGGTGATGAGTACTTATGCGTTGTGGTTGAGTCAAAGCATGCGAGTAAAATTTGTTTATTGTGAATAATTGCCTATTTAATTAAGATATTCCTGCTTAAGTTTATTATTGATTATTTGATCATTATTCGTGTAATTATTATTCATTTAATTATTGTAGAATATTTTGGAAGGTGAAATCAGTATTCTGATACTGAATTGATTATAAGTGTATATCCCCGCATTTAAATACTCTTCCGAATTTATATTATTATTTTCATGGCAAGGAAGAGTGTAAAAGAACGAAGGGTGATGACGTGCCATTTTTATTATTTATAATATCATTGTCATGGTAAGGAAGAGTGTAAAAGCACGAAGGGTGTTGCCGTACCATTTGTGAGTGTAAAAGAACGAAGGGTGATGCCGTGTCGTTTTCAGAGAGTGTAAAAGCATGAAGGATAATGCCGTGTCAAATGAGAGTAAAAGCACGAAGGGTGGTGTCGTGTCATTTTCATATCATCAGTTGCTCATTATATTGTTCAGGAATTATTTGGTTGCTAAGTGATAATTCTCCTGCTGAAATTATTATATCAACCCTCTTCGCATGTTCCCTCCCAAATTTATAAAGTATTATTTATTGTTTTATTGTTGCTTCATATTTGTATATACTTGTACATGTTGTTTATGTACGTGTCCTGTCATAGCCTCGTCACTGCTTCGTCGAGGTTAGGCTCGATACTTACGCAGTACATGGGGTTGGTTGTACTCATACTACACTCTGCACTTCTTGTACGGATTTTGGAGTTGGTCCCAGTGGCATACCATAGACGTGCTCGAATTCAACTACCCAGAGGAGACTTGAGGTATAACTGCACAACGTCCGCAATTCTGAAGTCCCCTTCTATCTTATCTTAGTTGTGTATTATCTTTCAAACAACTTGAATTTTATTCAAACCTTTATTTGTATTATTCTAGTAGCTCGTGCACTTGTGACACAAGATTCGGGGATATATTTTGATAATTCGGTATTTATGGTCTTCCGCACTATATTTCAGTAATTGACTTCTATTTAATTTAAATTGTTTAAAAATGGTTAAGATTATTTTTAACGTTGGCCTGCCTAACAAGTGAAATGTTAAGCGTCATCATGGTCCTGAAGGTGGAAATTTTGGGTCGTGACACTTTGAGAGATATACAGGTTAAAATAAGAAATATAATTTTGTGAATTTAAAATATTTGATAAGATTTGTCTTAAAAAAATAATTCTGAAGAAGCTATAAATTTATGTTTCTTTCATACAATGAAAAGGAAAGCTTCTTCTACTACTCAAAAGCACTTATTTCTCCCCAGAAACTTGGCCAAAACCGTGTAAGTCTCCAGAATATATACTATTTCTTTCTTCTTTTAGAAACAAAAAATAATTTTTAATTTCTAAAATAATTCATTTCAGCAAAAATAACCAAATAACAGAATACTGCCCGAGGAAAAAGGGATTCACAAGTACTTCGGTGGTCGGGGGATCTTTACACAAGTAACCAGTCATATTTATTATTACTTTTCTAGCCATATACATAAATTATATAATGGTTATACACGATTATACACATATTAAATATAAATTATACATATATTATTCCTCCTCCGATTATTTTTTATTTAAGCAATTGAGTGGGCGGCTAATCGGGTTAATTCTTAACCCTTTTAATTAATGAGTTCATATCATGTTATTCTGATCTATTTGGGCCCAAAAGCTTCTAACAACTTGAACTAATGAGAAGAAAATTTTGACTATTTTAGTCAGTCTCTTCAAAATGTTAACTAAATACAAAAACAAAAAAATGAATTGAGCAATGCTATGTGTATTTAGTTCAAGTATATTTTTCCATCATTTTTTAAATATCCCTTTTACTGAAACCGGTTCAGATTTCATATATTTGCTTTAATTTTTGATTGGCCAAATCAAATCATTTTAAGATTTTTTTACTGTAAATTAAAAATAAATAAATAGCCAGTCATGTAAATACTAATTACATAAACATATAAGTAACTTCAAAAGGGCATTAAATTAAACATATACTATAATAACAGTAAACTTCTTTCCTTAATATAAAAGCTGGAGATTGCCTAACCTTATTCTTCAGCAACTGGATCTCTTGAAACATGATATCCATCTGCAAGATATATAGTTTATAAAAATAACTCTCATATCACATAAATAAAAATGCACTAATTAATATTGATAAACTATTTATTTCATGAAATTATTACCTTTGCTGAACGAATATGAAACATCCAAAGTTCAAGGTATTTTTCAAGTGAATGCAATTCATCCAATGTCATTGTTCCAGCTCCTCCTCCATACATGTAGCTAAAGGAGAAGTTTTTGGATAATTAAACTTTATATCATAATTAAGAAAGAAGTTTAATAAATTAAAAAAAAGGAAATAACTAATTATAATTTGAATGGCATATAAAATAACTAAACTTACACTTCAACATAAAGTCAAAGTACTAAAGCACATAAGGAAAGATTTAAATTACACAAGTGATAGTGTAAAGATTGCTTATACTATCTATATAATTCAGCCTAATTATATATCAATATTAGTTGGATCGGTATAACTCTTACTTTATTTAAAAGAATTTAAACGTCAAACTAAAAGCCTTAAGGCAATAGATGGAGAGGTCCGAAGATATTATAAACTCTTGCACAATTGATGAAGGACAACTGTATTTCTTTAAGACCATTCAGAACGTGTAACTTGGTTTTAGAATTTACACGTGAACTGAATATTTTTTAAGATTGAAGAGAGATCGTGCACAACATGCTAAAGAGTGGCTTGGAGCTAAGAGGAGAGTGGTCTCAACAGTTCAATGGACTGAGTTGAGAAGAGAAGCCCAGAGTAAACATGAAGAGATGAAGTGGTTGTGCTAATGTGCCCACTAAGGTTTGGCTCTGATACCATGTGAAAGTATCTGAGAATAATAATGCAAGTATCCACTCAGTTTAAGGGGTCGTTTGGAACATGGGATAAGAATAATAATCGCAGAATAAGGCTTGAGATTAACTTTATCTCATGTTTGATTTGGGGTATAAGCTAATACCGAGATAACTTTTACAAAGGGTGTGCAGCCACTGATGACAGAGATCGAAATCCATACTTTAAAGGACAACAAGGTAGCTATTGATTCTTCTTTATGGCTGTACAAAGCTGTGTATACTTGTCCTCGAGAGCTTTGTGAGGATATCGCCACCTCCAGGTATGAACTTACAATTTTTTCTGTACCACATTAGGGATTATGGGACGGAATTGTAATGATTTATGAAATACGTCTTGATTTCTTCATCTAATTCTATCACTTCTTGAACTTTTGCTCGATTCTTGATTTATATTCTTGATTTCTCAATATTTTCTTGATTTCTCAATGTTTTCTTGATTTCTCGATTCTGGATTATTTATTTTTTATTCTTAAAAAAGTAGTACTTTTTGGTTTTTGACACTCATTTTCAAAAAATCTCAAAAAACTTATAAATTGAAAAAGTATTTGATGTTCAATGTGTAATACTTCACTGAGTGGATACTTGCATTTTTATTCCAATTTTAACTTTTTAACTTTGACTGACTCACATTTAGCTTAAATCTCTCCTCCAGGGCACCCATCATTTCTTTCATCTTGTACTTGGGATTATTTGAACCTTTCTCATAAAATAATGAGCTAAGGTAGCAGGAGTAGCTCTTATGTTCTCAAATACTTTCCCACATTCATGTTCAACATGTAAAGTCTTTATCTTAGTCCCTTGGTTATTTTCATCCTTAGAAATAAGACATTTAAAGGGACAGCCAACAACACACTTATATCTAAGTCTTTTTCTGTCACTCTTCACTACCTCTAAAGCCTTATTTTTTGCAACAGAATAAAAACTAATAACTTCTTTTGCTTCAGCAAGATTCTTAAATATCATATCCTTTACCAAAATTTTGTACCTATCAAGTTGGTCTGTTACCTCAAGTTTCCTTTGCTTCTTAAATACCCCCAACACAACATCCTATTTTTATTAGTAAATTGAGTTATATTAGGAACAACAATAATATCATCAAGGAGGTCAATAGCAAATAGATTAATAACCCTAAAATTTTCATTAATGAGGGACTGAAACTTCCTAATTCCTTCATCTCCATCCAACAAATAATATCTACCATATGGAGCAATAAAATCAACGGTTGTACCTCGACACACCCGGTACATCAGTGTATTCTTCACACAAATCAATGTAGGATAAATGGTCTACTTCATACTCTCTCAATAGGTGCACATCGTTTTTACAATAAGATAAATTGGGTTCCAGTTCCCAATCACCACCATGATTAAAATACAAAGCTACTTTATCAACCATTCTTCTGACATATCTACATGCAACAACAACAAAAATTACAAAAAAAAAAAGGACCACATCAGTTAGGCATAAAGTCAAAAAAGTATCAAGCAATAAAGAAAAATAAAGGACCACAGTTATATACACCAACACCCACCCAACAACACATTAAAAATCGAAAAAACCATAACTTTTTCATGTCGGACAAAGACAAATGGCCCCACCCCAAACAAAAAATAAAAAAAAATGCATAAAGAAGCAAATAATAATATCATGTGACCTATTAAACACAAAGAAAGAGACAACATTTATCGATTCTCATAATATTCTCAAACCCTAAAAGCTTAGCCAAAATAATAAATACTTACTTTTATCAGCGATTCTTTAGTCAAGTAAGGCTAGAAATGAAAGATTCTTCAGTTTTAGTCCAAGAAATCGAAGCAGGTAGCAATCCTAATTAAACCCTAAAACGCCATTACTAAGAGCTCTAATTTGACGGAGAGGCCAAGATAAAATGAAATGGGGGTAAAAGGAATGAGTAGGTAGAAATAGTGTTTTTACTATGGGTGGTCCGAAAAAATGGGGCGTGTGGATATTTGGGGCGGTTATATGCTTCCTGGACCAAATAGCCACGTGTCCCAATCAAATCGTGACAACACATTAAAAGTTGGGACCACAGATTGTTTCGTTAGTTGCGGGGATATTTTCAAACCTCAAGTAGATGAATTTTCACACAAATAAGTGGACGGAGCGCAAACCATTTAGAATACTAATTAACCCTTTTTCGTTACTAAAAATAGATACATATAACTAAGACTGAACTAATATATTTCTCTTATGTACAAAATATTTGTAAGTGTTATCTGAAATCATATACTCCTATGATATTGTGATATATATCAATTTTTTTTCTTGTTCATTCTTTCCCCTTGAGATAATTAACATGAAATGATCTCTTTGCAATAGCGACAGTTGCAATGAAATTTTTTGAGTTTCCATAACCGAAAGACGTAAATTAGAAGAGGCAATTATATTAAACCTTTTAAGTAGATTGCAGGTAGTGGTATAGTGAAATTAAATAAACCAATTTTCTCTAAAATTAGGTAAGAAGGAACTTAAATATATATGATGCAATTGCGCCAAAATAAGATTCTCAAGCACTGAGTTTCAAAACACAAATAAGGATCATATTATTAATATAGCCAATCAGTAACAAGACAAAGATCTAGGAATTAATCACTCATTAGCAAATACTCATCCACTTATAAAGCACTTAGAAGTTTTAGATGACATAATAAGTAACTACACTTCATACACACTATGAAGCTCACACTAGATCATTTGACCTAAATTAAACATATAATAAACATACTTGTATGTTCATATCAAGTTCATCACTCCAAACTGAAACTAATCAGTCATTATTACATGTCCTTAATTACCCTACTAGATGCTTCAGCATAAGCATATCTTATGCAGTGAGAGCATATGTTAGAACTGGAATATCTCATTTTGTACAGTTAGTGGGCATTGAAAGTCAGTCAAAGTCGATGTCATGTTAGTTACAGGGTATTGTTCTTCTATCTGCAAAACAGACAATGAGAGAAAAAGGTTTATAAGACTGACTACTTTAATTTAAAACAAAACAAAAAAATAATCAAAATTAATCTTTGTTGTGTCTTACCTTATCCTGTAAATATTTGTTTGCAGCTTGTAGTATCCCTTCCTAATATAAAGGTAAAAACATGTTTAGTAAAGGATGCATTAAAGATAGCTACCATATATAATATTGTTTAGCAACTTCATATCACACTTCAAGATATCAATATTTGTCAATAAAAGCCTATAATTCATCTCATTTTTTAAGTAGAACAAACTCCACTATTACAAAAGTAGCATAATAATTCAAGCTATTAAGCATACCACTCACACTTTCATATATGTTATTTATTGTAATTTTAGTGATTTTTACATATAAATTTATGCCCCGCATTGAAAGTACTAGGTTCAGCTGAACCCGATAACTATATGTTGCATCCGCTCCTGTGTAAAAGTCTTCTACTTGCAGCTAATATCACAATTTACAAAATATATATAAATGACATTTGCATTTATAATATTATTATTTAAAGACCAGTTGGCCAAACTTATAAAATCTGCTTATTTTAAATATTTTTTGTTAAATTAGATTTTTAGAGAAGCAAGTTGGAAGTAGCAGCTTGCATTTCAACAATCCGTTTAAGACGCACTTTTCTCAGTATTACAAAAATAGCTTTGTTTTGTTAATATTACTAAAAGGCGCTTTTGAGTGTCAAACTATGAAAAGGTCATATATTAATTCACTGTACAATTAGTGTTATTTAAATAAGTCAATCATTTTAAATATTTATTATGATTATTTTAATAATTTTTCAATTTTATTTAATAAAAGGTGAAAAAAAATTAAGAATTTTAACAAATATAAATACATTTGAATCAAAGTAATAATATTGAACATCTTACATAATTGTTTGATTTTTATGTTGATTTAAACATATTGAAGTACATAATTAATTAATCATCAATTTACAGAGAGATAGTTTGGTAAAGATATATCTCTTGCATAATTAATTGTGTCCCCTTTGAGAGATATACAGTTTAAAATAAGAAAGATAATTTTGTAAATTTAAAATATTTGATAAGATTTTTCTTAAAAAAATAATTCTGAAGAAGCTATAAATTTATGTTTCTTTCATACAATGAAAAAGAAAGCTTCTTCTACTACTCCAAATCACTTATTTCTCCCCAGAAACTTGGCCAAAACAGTGTAACTCTCCAGAATATATACTATTTCTTTCTTTTTTTAGAAACAAAAAAACATTTTTAATTTCTAAAAAATTTCATTTCAGCAAAAATAACCAAATAACAGAATATTGCCAGAGGAAAAAGGGATTCACAAGTACTTCGGTGGTCGGGGGATTTTTACACAAGTAACCAGTCATATTTATTATTAC